GGGGATCACGTATCTCTTGTCTAGTGTCTTGGCCATTTTTCTGAAGCCTTCATTGTGCACAGTATTTATTGGACATGTCTTTGGCCAAATGAAATGCGATTGCATCCGTTATTTCAGTGTGTCTTTGGGAGGTGGATGGATACGCTGTCTCGCTATGCAGGGTCGCTGTTATGGTTTTCTGGGTTGATGTTGGACATGGATGGCGATTCAGTGAGGTAACGTTAGCTTTGGCCTTAATGCATTCGTCGTACTGTGGTTTGTGGTGATTTTTCAGGTGGTTGAACAAGTTGGTTGTATTGCTATGCGGCGCAGACACAACTCTAACGCACTCTGTGCATATGATTTGTTCTTGGTTAACATCACTTGCCCTAAATCCAAAAAACTTCCAGACAACGGATGATGATCCTTGTCGAGGGGCTAGCTCCTCACCTTCTGCTCCTGACATTTGAGTTACCTTTCACACGACACCCGTGACCGTCTGCTCTCTGTTCTGTTGTCTGTCTGTCTACTCTTCTACTAATACCGGAGTCGACTGCAGACAGAACTTTTTTTGAGGCTGCCGCTGCAGGGTGCACCTGCCGCTGCAGGGTGCACGCTTGACACCTCCCATCTTGTTCGCCCCCTGGTGGTTGGCTGACTGTTAGTTGAGGACGCGCTTGATTCAATATGTAGCAGAGCACGCGTTTTAAACGTCTATCACAGACGATCGTGCTCATTTAATTGTGGCAGCCAAAATCGTGATCGCGATTAAAATTTGATTAATTGTGCAGCCCTACCTACCTATCCATTGTGTGTGGATGGTTTGGCAAGACATGAAAGAAAAAAAAAATATATATATATATATATAGTATTTAGACCATAAGGAAACATTGAAATCAAAAATATATGGAACTGGAATGACAAGTTAAAAAGTATGAGAAATGTCAAGCTGAACCTGTTGTAGCAATGTTCAATGCTATGCAAGAATAAATAAGTGAATAAAAATGTGTTGGATGTGCATAATAGTAACAAACCTTTCTCCACAGGCGCTGGCATGTACTTCAACAAAATACTCAGGAAACAAGTCTGAGCACAATGGACAGGCCACCTTTATAAAAACAGAAAGCAGAGTCAATTAGTTTAAGTGAAATGGCCACTCTCGCCACTGCCTCTCTTTCTCTCTCCTCGTTCCTCTCTGCCTGCTCTTTCAAATATTCCAGGAGACCCTCTCTGTCCCTGGTCCTCTTCCTGGTAGGCTGGCTTCTTGCTTCTTCCTCAGAAGGGGCAGAGGCCGGTGCACTGACCTGTAGTGGCAGCCAAGTTTGCCGCCACGACAAGGGGCAAACTAATTGAATGCTGCCCCTGGAGTGCAGCATCCATTACACTGTACCACTGCCAGGTGGCAGCAGTCACACTACCGGCCTCCACCGCTCTGTCTGTTGGGGGGTCCCTAAGCTCCTGGAAGTAGGGTATTATTTACTACACTGTGAAGCTGACTGTTTGAATGTATTCCCAGTCACAAAGAACACCCACTGCATCCGTGTTATGTTAGGTTTCACACTTGGCCTGGCAAATTACTTTTTTCGGGGAATCATATTAAGGCTCTCTCAGTATACAAAGCAGAGATTACCTTGTATTTGTCCTTTAAATTATTCCATTTCTTCCTGGCCTGGTTTACAGTTACCGTCAGGCCTGACGTGGTAACAAAGTGCCTGGGCAAAACATAAAACCACAGTGACACGTTGCCACTTCAATAACATATTCATTATTACCGATTGAGACTGCACAAGGCTCCATCCCTTCCCTAGACATGCACACAATGATAAAAGCTCTCTAAATCAGTGGTTCTCAACTGGTCTGGCTGCGGTACCCACCATCACCCCTTAATGACAAGCCGCGACCCAAATCGAGGAACACTTTCTACTTCTCAAATTTATTGAATGAAAAGATGGTGCAGTTTGAACCTGAGATAGTACAGCATATCACAGTATGCCAACAAAAAAAAAAGTGGCGATGCTAGAGAGGGAAATATTCCCTTTTACACTCAATTAGCTGCATTTGAATTGAAAACCAAAAAGTGCATCTTATGGACACAAGGTAATACAACGTACATAAAAATTCAGTAACTTCAGCCTTTTTTTAATGGACTCAAAAGTGAAATTAGAAAGAAAATGAAGCAGCACTCACTTCAACCTTAGGTGTATCACTGACATAGACCCGAGTCTAATGGGAGAACTGGGGATGTTTTTTGCTCCTGACAAGAGTCTCAAAGTCTGGAGTTATAGTAGACAAGGCAACTCTGAGGTCATGCTCAATGTCCAGTCTATTGTCTTCAGCTAGATTATTTTCAATATGTGTTTTCTGTGTAGGTCATACAGTTAGACATAGACATTCTATAACACACAGCCTATTAGTTGTTAAGTCTATCTGATAAAGACAGTAAAACATTGTTGTCTTATGCACATTTAACCTTGATAAAATGCCTTTGTGTAAATTAAGATAGGCTTTTCTGAGCCTTTTAACTAGTGTCCCAGATTTCAGCATTAACTGTCCCAGATCAAACTCAGAGAGATCAAGATTTGGCACAAGGAACACTGGTATATGTGACATTTCCCCTTTTGAATAGAATACTGAAAAATATCCTATCCAAGCAAGCCACATATGGAACATAGGACACATTTATAAACGTGATTGCAGAAGGTCACTAGTCTTGCACTAGTTATTATTGTGCACTCTTGCTCACAATATGAATGTAGTTACAGCGGGTAAAATAAGTATTGAACACGTCACCATTTTTCTCAGTAAATATATTTCTAAAGGTGCTATTGACATGAACTTTTCACCAGATGTCGGTAACAACCCAAGAAATCCATACATACAAACAAATTAGTTCAGAAATTAAGTTATGTGTAAAAAATGGAATGACACAGGGAAAAAGTATTGAACACGCTTACTGAAATTGATTTAATACTTCGTACAAAAGCCTTTGCTGGTAATGACGGCTTCAAGACACCTCCTGTATGGAGAAACTAGTCGCATGCATTGCTCAGGTGTGGTTTTGGCCCATTCTTCCAAACAAACAGACTTCAAATCTTGAAGATTCCGTGGTCCTCTTCTATGAACTCTGATCTTCAGTTCTTTCCATAGATTTTGTATTGGATTCAAGTCAGCTGATCGTCTGGGCCATTCTAGCAGCTTTATTTTATTTCTCTGAAACCAGTTGAGAGTTTCCTTGGCTGTGTGAAATGTCCACCCTCGTTTCATCTTCATCATCCTGGTAGATGGGAGCAGATTTTTATCAAGAATGTCTCGGTAAATTTTTCCATTCATCCTTCCTTCAATCATATGAAGTTTGCCAGTGCCGTATGCTGAAAAACAGCCCCACACCATGATGCTCCCACCTCCAAACTTCACTGTTGGTATGGTGTTTTTGGGGTGATGTGCAGTACCATTTCACCTCCAAACATGGTGTGTATTATGGCATCCAAAGAGTTCAATTTTGGTCTCATCTGACCAGACTATATTCCCCCAGTATTTCACAGGCTTGTCTAAATGTGCAGCAAACTTTAAACGAGCTTCAACACGCTGTTTCTTCAGCAGTGGAGTCTTGCGTGGTGAGCGTGCATACAGGCCACGGCGGTTGAGTGCATTACTTGTTTTCATTGAAACTATTGTACCTGCTAATTCCAGGTCTTTCTGAAGCTCTCCACAAGTGATCCTTGGCTCTTGGACGACTCTTCTGATAATTATTTTCACTCCTCTGTCAGAAATCTTGCGAGGAGCACCTGGTCGTGGCCGGTTTATGGTGAAATGATGTTCTTTCCACTTCCGGATTATGGCCCCAACAGTGCTCACTGGTTTCAGAGAAATAAAATAAAGCTGCTAGAATGGCCCAGCCAATCAGCTGACTTGAATTCAATAGAAAATCTATGGAAAGAACTGAAGATCAGAGTTCATAGAAGAGGACCACGGAATCTTCAAGATTTGAAGTCTGTTTGTTTGTAGGAATGGGCCAAAACCACACCTGAGCAATGCATGCGACTAGTTTCTCCATACAGGAGGCGTCTTGAAGCCGTCATTACCAGCAAAGGCTTTCGTACGAAGTATTAAATCAATTTCAGTAAGCGTGTTCAATACTTTTTCCCTGTGTCATTCCATTTTATTGCACATAACTTCATTTCTGAACTTATTTGTTTGCATTTATTTGTATGTATGGATTAGTTGGGTTGTTACCAACATCTAGTGAAAATTTCATGTCAATAGCACCTTTAGAAATATATTTACTGAGAAAAATGGTGACATGCTCAATACTTATTTTACCCGCTGTATGTTCCATACACTACTGAATCTGTTTTTAAGCTCACTAAGACCTCCATCGGAACACAAAGTATGAATGTATAAATTGAACACTCAGTCGAACATTTCTTTCCGTCAAATGATTTATTCACCAATTTATATTAAAATAATAATATATAAGTGCACTTTATCAATTAGAGGTTGAATAGTAGGCCTTTGCTTGAAGAGTGTCCCACTTCAATAAAATAATTTATATTTTAAATACATTCATCTTCCAACCTTCCATGACCTGGATGTGAACAATAGTGTAGTGTGCAGTCTTTCAGTATTATAGGTATTATTATCAGTATTACCATCATTTATATAACCGTTATGGCGACGATCCAGGAGGGAAGTGATTCACACTGGGCAAGGTCACCCTCTGCTGGGCAGCAGGAGCTGACATGCATGATTATTCAACAATAATATGTTGCAAAGGATAACAACTCAAGACAAGAAACTACAATAACAGAAGAACCCACTTTCCCACAATGCACGTGTGCTCTAGCTGTGATTAAGAAGACTGGACTCTCAATGAAAACAATACACATAACAATATAGTACTGGGGTTATAAGAGTTGGTGGTGGCGATGTTCTTGTAGATTATGACGTCACTATTACTATAACTATCCTGGTAATGATGTTATTATTAGTAGTAGTAGTTCTGCAGCTGGTGAGCAGCCTCCGCCGTCGGCTTCCTCCCCTTTCAGTGCGCTACGTTCCGGGACAGCGGACGGGTTCAGTGCGGCTCCCGATGCTGCAGCCAGGACACACACACAGCCCGGGTTCACCACGTCAGAGGGCCACATAACGCGGATGACTGAGGCAGAGCAAAGTGCACATAGGAAGTCGCTTCTGCACAACTTCACCTTCCACGAGCTCCAACCAACGCACGCCAGAATGCAGCGGCGTTACGGCAAAGTCCCGGGTCGACCGTGGGTCTCGCCGATTGGCATTTGGTGTGTTTTGGCAGTGTGCGTCGCACCTGTAATGTTACACCCGCAGTGTTTGGACTTTAAGCCGCCCTTCCGATCGCTAAGGGAGCTCGAGTTTTGCGTAATGTACAAGGAGTTTGGCTGCTGTGATTATCAGAGGGACCAGGAGCTGAAGACAAAGTACTACCAGATTATGGATCGTTTTGATTATAATGGATATGCCAACTGTGCTGGGTTCGTGCTGGAGCTGCTCTGCCAGGTAGGCATGCATGGACAAAGGTCGTCCAAACAAACGTCTCCATCACGCGCCATTAGTCTGACCAAACAGGTTAAAACACTGACTAGTATAAAGCAGAAGAAGGCATATGCTTACTAAACAGGTCAACAGAATGATATTATCTTACAGTAAATGTAGAATATGTTAAGGCGTCCTCTTTCCATGGAGTTAACTGAAGAGCTGAATGAAGGTAAAGGTCATCATGACTGATCTCTCTGTAAACTCCTACAGCAGTCACACACATGAGATGCAGAGACAGAGAGAAGGGTTTAAAGCTCTGAGACCTCTGAGATGTTGATTATGCAACTGGGCCTGCAATTTATTATCAGGCACATGTACCCAGTATTACACATTCCCTTTATTTCTGGCCTCACAGCAGGCTGCTACTATGGGCTCTCTCCCATGTCACTCTCTCGCTGTACATTACTGAGGACGATTTAGGACGTTTTTCTTTTTATTTATGGTCGTTTCTTCATCGGGGCAAAGACCAATCAACTGGAAATTGTTTGTCACATCACTAATGTCTATTTCTCTTGATGATGCTTTTGCGTAGCATACACTTAGTACACTTTGGAAAAAGGGAACTTCCCCTTCATATGTAAAGGAGTTTCACATAAGGGTTTGTCAGAAATATGCCTTAATTACTACATGTATCTGCAGGCAAATTGACACCAACATATTACAATAACCTTACCTCAGTATTCTGTGTAATGTCAGGATGACAAATGTATTCAAAACAATACCTAAAAACAACTAATTATATTATCTATTTTGAGGGTGACAAACAACATTGCTTTCTGCAACTTCCACCATGATGTCATGCATGCTTATCATATGCTTATAATATGATAAGCATGCATGCACTTAAATGTGACATAGGAGGAGCCTCTTGTGTTTGTTGGCAGTTACCTTATTGATGACAATACCAACGTTTCCTATTCAGGTTATAATGGCTTGTATTTTTTTAACTGTTATATTGTTGAAATTATTATTGTCCCTTCCTTAGCAATATTTAAAAAACTCTGGATAATCAATCAATTTGCCTACTAAGGCCACAATGAAGGATTCATTTTTAGAATAATTGTATTTCATTAAAGCTACTACAATCAATATGTTTAAGCTCACTAACTGATCAAATGACTTTGTGTAAGGTGAAAGGGCTCTGTTGTGATGATGAACCCATAAATAATTTTCACCTGACACCACGGTTTCCCTCAATTCCATGGAGCGTTTCAGGATCCTTGAGCTCATTCTTTTGGTTTTCTGACTTGTGACTTGAATATGTTAATTCCGTCTCACTGCTTCCATCAACCCTATTTCAGCAGCAGCTGTCCAAGAAAAGCTCTGACAAACCCACTGTACACTACCTGCCCATCACCGAACAGCAGACAGTTAGTGACTAGCTGGGGAACATAGTGTATTAGGAGTTGATTCAAAAAAGAGCTAAAATCAATTTGATATTCATTAGGTGGACAGAAACATGACTTCAAATTAATACAAATGTAGATCTTGCTGGATGTGTAATCAGACCATCATGTGCTACAAAGTTTCAACTTGGTAGGTCATGAAATGGGCCAAAAGACAGTTAATGCAGGTTTAATAAAATCTCTACTTACTACACATCATACTCAGTCTTCCTCTTAATTGCCTCACCTCTCTTCTTCATCTGCTCAGGAATGCTCTCCATATGCAGCTCACCTCTTTGATGCTGAGGACCCAAGCACCCCAGTCAGGACCATTCCTGGCCTCTGTCCTGACTACTGCTCCCAGTTTTGGAGGAAGTGCAGCTCCATAATCCCTTTCTTGTCTGACGACCCACACACAGCCGAAGTCAAAGAAGACCAGACACGTCTCTGCCAGCACCTGAAGCTTGACGATGTGGACTACTGCTACCCTAACCTCCTCAGCAGCCAGAAGCTCACCCAGAATCTGGGCCGGGTTCAGTCAGACTCTGACGGCTGTCTGCAGCTGTGCCTGGAAGAAGTTGCGAACGGGCTGCGGAACCCGCTCGCCATGGTGCACGCCAACGATGGCAGGCATCGGTTCTTTGTGGCAGAACAGGTAGGCTTGGTGTGGACGTACCTTCCTGATCGGTCCAAGCTGGAGAGACCATTTTTGAACATTACCAAGGCGGTGTTAACATCATCATGGGAAGGTGACGAGAGAGGCTTTCTGGGACTCACCTTTCACCCCAAGTACAAATTCAATGGGAAGCTCTATGTGTATTACTCAGTGGAGGTGGGTTTTGATGAGAGGATCAGGATCAGTGAGTTCCATGTGTCAGCCAATGACATGAATGTGGTGGATCATGCCTCTGAGCGGTAGGTATGGACTGATCCAGGCTAGCAAACAGCAATGGTCCAATACCAGCTCTTTGTCTCGTCTTATTTTTCATGTCCACTTTTCTTCCAGGGTTATTCTGGAGATTGATGAACCAGCATCCAACCACAATGGAGGGCAACTTCTATTTGCAGATGATGGCTACTTGTATGTTTTCACAGGGGATGGTGGAATGGCAGGAGATCCCTTCGGCAAATATGGGAATGCCCAGAACAAGTAAGATGTCCACAAAAGTTTATAAAACTAGACACCTCAAATAATCTGAAGCAACCAAGGATATTCCTAATTTAGAATACCTGGCAAAGAGCCTTATAGGGATACGGTCTGATCCATATTTTAGTCAAAATATAGTTTAGTTTTTTAAACGTAATTGCATGTTTCTTTGCATTTGAGATAAAATATGACTTTTTCCATATCACCACATCTGCTTTAGGTCAGCTCTGTTGGGTAAAGTTCTCCGCATCGATGTGAATGACAATGAGAAAGGCCCGTTGTACAGAATTCCTCCAGATAACCCCTTCATACACGAGCAGGGGGCACGACCTGAGATTTATGCTTACGGTGTCCGCAATATGTGGAGGTGTTCTGTGGATCGGGGCGACCCTTGGACCAAAGAGGGCAAAGGACGCATCTTCTGCGGGGATGTGGGCCAGAACAAGTTTGAAGAGATTGACATCATTGAGAAAGGTCGAAACTATGGATGGAGAGCCAAGGAAGGCTTCTCTTGCTACGACAAGAAGCTGTGTGCCAACAGCTCGCTAGGTAGGCATGCTCTGGGCAGTCAAATGTTTTCCTGCTTTTTACTCCTTTGACTGCAGACAGCAGCATCTCCAATTGTGTTGTAATGAAGGGCCAAGACTTTACCATTTTATTACAAACAAAGACCATGCCAGCTCTCTGCACAAACTACAGTAACCCCTCCTTGTTTGAAGGAAAGGCTGCAGCCTCTTGGCCCGTGCTAGAAATGGTGACCAACTTTATGTTGCTGCGACAAAGTAAAGGACGTCTGTTGTCACACAGTGGACCATTAGATAATTAATGACCATAACCAGTGTACAAAATACTGGTTATGGTAATGCCCCCAAACCGAGCGCTCCCCCCACCTCACTCAACACATAATATACCAAATTTCATGGATGCAAGTACACACTTTGCACACGCGTCACTAAGGCTGATGTCATTAACAATAGGGCCACTCACACAACTCAACAACTACGCCCTGCAGCAGAACACACACTGCCTCTGCCTCTCTCTCTCTCTCTCTCTCTCTAACTAACCCACAGACCTTGGCTCAGCTTCTTCTAGTTGCCATCCTGATATCCATGAAGAGGAGAGACAATGTCCTGCCTCAATCCAGGTTGTCATTTAAGACAGTGGATCAAATTTGTCTAAAGAGTACTGTTGCGTCTCTGGCTGGCTGTGTCATTTACGGCAGAAAATCGTATCTCGCACTCACTGTTCAGAAATGCGAATACATGTGAAACCTGAGATTCAAGTGCTCAGGAAAAAAAACTTCAAAATTCTTCGATGTCTGTACCTGTGGATCATGTCACAGACATGAAAAAAGTGAAGATTTATTTTGAATTCAATACTTCCTGTTTCCGTTCTAAAAATCAAAGCCCTCTCACGTCTTTCTGTGGACAGACTCCCTTCATATGTTAATACTCGGCTCTGCAGGACAGTGTTGTGGAAAAAGCAGTGACTTTCACGGCTCCATAAATTAATAGAGTACAGGTTTTTAAATGTGGATTGTTTTTATTATTTACCGATTCACTTTTTTCTGTCTAAAATAAATATAAATGACATTGATAGTGAATGAAATGAAACATTCTGGCAATTATAAAAGGCAAACTCTATGTGGAAAGAAGGACTGGCTGCTGCAGCACCACTGTGTGGAAATCATATGGACGTATTCATTAAGAATATATTTATATTCACCTTTTAAATCTACTTTCACACATGTTTAATTAAGTAAAGCTTCATTGTAAAGAAATGGCTAAAAGTGAGAAACTCAACAACACCAATAATGACCCTTGGGATTTTTCACAGATGATGTCCTCCCTATTTATGCGTACCCTCACAAGATGGGCAAGTCAGTGACTGGTGGCTATGTGTACCGAGGCTGTGAATACTCCAACATGAATGGCATGTATATATTTGGAGACTTCATGAGCGGGTAAGGTTGAATCTGGTGAATCGTATATTTTTTTAAAAATAACACCAATCTCTGAAGCTTCTGTTGTTACGGGATGTCAGACATAAACCTGAAGATAACTGCTGTAGGTGTTTGTTAAATGCCTGCTACACCTGCCTTTGAGGAAGTAAGAATATACATGAAGTCTGTGAACTAGTTGCGAGTAAAATAACACTTTATTGCCTTCTGGTGGAGTTCTTTATAAACCAGAAAACATTTGTGTAAAGAATTGCCTTTTCTGAAGTATAAAACACAATATGATCGTTATACAAAGTGGCTAAAATTAGCTTCACCATGATCAGCTAAAGTTAAAATGCTGCTTACATGTCAAAGCATAGGTGATAATCAACCAGTATGTTTTATATGAAAACACTCTGAAACAGGCTTCTCTGTATACTGAATAATTTTTGCCTCTGTACTTTTACTTTACTTTGAATGCAGTACTTTTATGATGAAGTGTTTTCACACTGTGGTATTGATACTTTTACTTACTGTAAGTAAGCATAGGATCTGAATACTTCTGCCACTGGTCATATGGCTCAGGTTCTGTTTGGTGACTCCTGCTGTTTGACATCCTCCAGGATCCATTGTCTTCATACATGTTCACATTCTCTGTATCATCACTGCAATTTGATTCCTTTTCCAGGCGTTTGATGAGTCTGCGGGAGGACAGAACCACAGGGAGCTGGATATACAATGAGATATGTATGGGGATGGGCCTAACCTGTGCCTTTCCTGGACTCATCAACAACTACCACCAGTACATCATCTCCTTTGCAGAGGATGAAGCTGGTAATGCATGAACACATGCACACCCTCAAACTCCGAATGCATCTTGAGTTTTGCACGAGCTGTAATTTGTCTTCCTGTGTAATGTCATCTTAATGTATTGTTTCGTTTTTTTCCATCAGGCGAGCTGTACTTCATGTCAACTGGAATAGCGAGTGCTACATCACCTTCAGGAGTCATTTATAAAGTAGTGGACCCCTCCAGGTGAGTAATAGGAACTCTGCAGCTAGGTATTCCTGCCTGCTGTTAGAAGGTGCAGGTGACCGACTATGATGAAGAAATGACTGTTCACCGTCCAGTTCTATTTCAGGTTTATTTCAGTATCAGCAGAACATGTGTATTGGTATAGTTTCTTGCAAGCGTACACACCACTCAATCAGTTCAACACTGTGGATGTGTCCGATCAATAATGCTCATACAGACCAGAGACAAGATGGTTCAGTCCATTAGTGTCCCTGCTAGGGGTGACATGGAAAGGTCCAAGTGGCGGCAGAGACAGGGTTGTATACAGTGAGTAACATAATCATTACTTTGCTTTTTTTTACTCCACCACCATAGCACAAAGGAAACTTGTGTCATTTGTCATGTACAGTAAGTGCTCACCGCATAGAGAGTAGGTACAGTTCTTTGAAACAGATGTGTAAGACACACATCTGTTCCTTATTACAAGCACAGGCATGTCATTCTTCTCTGTGAGCCTGAGTTATGTGCAGTATCATGATCATACTTGATCTGAATGTAAGTTTAGATCAGTGATTTCCTTTGCTGAATGTGGAGATGTCTCTATTTTGGTATCCTAAATCTCCCTTCTCTGCTTTGGACAGCTCAGAGCTCTCTCTGCATTTCTCTCAGCAGTACATGGTTGTATTCCTAAATTGTATCCCAGCCATTCACCTCATTTAACTGTTCCTCGCTATTGTTGTGACCAGAGCTGCTACATATTAAAAGATTGGAACATGTTTTTTATATGTCCGCCTGCTTGTATTCTGTCTTCTCTTATGTGCAACAATATTTAATTCGGTTTTGTTACTCGTTTTCAGACGTGCTCCACCAAGACAATGTCACTATGACCCTCTTCCTGTCAGAGTGAAAAGTAACCTCATCAAGTTTGTTCCCCAGGAAAGTAAGTCCACTACCTCACTACTGACTAGTTACAGAACAAATTCAATCTGTGACATTCATGGGTAATTCATAGTTTATATTCACATTTGGTCTTGTTTTGTCATCATTCTCCATTAGCATTAATTGGCCTTGAGCCACCAAACAAAATCCAGCCTGAGCCACAACCCACAGAGTCCTTCAACTGGCTAGAAGAGCTCATTAATCGTCTAGGAGGACCAGGACTGACCACCCCGTTACCAACCACAACTACCACCAAATCACCAAGACATTCGAGGCGGAAAGGCAGACGCAGGAAGGGCAAATCCAGAACGGAGAGTACACCCGAGCTCCAGAACGGAGTTGTGAGGCTGGTTGGGGATGAACAGGGCCGGAGCGACCGTGGACGGGTGGAGATCTACGTTAACGGGCACTGGGGCACCGTGTGTGATGACCTATGGACCACCAAGAATGCTGCAGTGGTTTGCCGGCAGCTGGGCTTCATGTACGCTCTGAAAGCAGCCAAGAACTCAGAGTTCGGGGAGGGGACGGATCTGCAGATTCTTCTGGATGATGTTCAGTGTGAAGGAACTGAGTCCAGCCTGCTGGACTGCAAACATGCCGACGTGGGGACACATAACTGTGCCCATTATGAAGATGCTGGGGTGATCTGTGGCAACTCGGACTACGTTATTGAAGTCTAAATGGTTGACTACTATGAAATCAGGACTAGTTATCAGCAACTGAACCTTTTGTCTCAATAATCCACCCCAAATGTAAATATTAACTGATATTTTCAATCTACTCTTGGTGGAGAATTTTCTCATTCCCATTAAGAGCACAGCAAACATAGACCACATAACTTTGTGCCATAATATTGCCAGGTTCAGACAACTGGGAGCACCAACAAGGGCAATCTTTCCATCAAAGAGTGAACCAGCTGGGATGCTTCTAACTCTGTAACCATATCTAAGGGTGGGTTTTCCTTCAGTAATGTTGTACTTGCCAGTAGTGTCTCATAGATTTTTGTCAAAGGTTCATATGAGAGTTTATTTTTAATTTTCCATCACACACTTAAATGTTTAATATGAAGGTTGGAATTTGAAAGTATTTTCTTTCTCAGTGATTTGTTGCAGTAATCCATTTGACATCTAGTGTCTAAATGTTATATTTCCTAGTGAATGTTCAATGCCCACTGACTGGATGTATGGATGTATTATGATGTCATGATTTAAGTAAATCATTTTAATAAAAAGCTTTCTAGTCTGTACTGGCTTCCACCCACACTTGGACCAAACAGTCTGACATAACTCGACATCTGAAAGCAGTTTCATTAAAACTCTGTCCCATGTATTGAAACGAGGACAAAATATACATGTTAATCTTTCACAATTATCCTTCAAGGGAACACAAAGCAAAAAAACATCCCGGATTAAAATATTGAATTTAAACTTAAGAGATATAAATAATCTATCTATGGATAGTATATAATCAGTAACTATGTATGTTTTTAATACTAATCTATTAATTACATCGCACAGGTCTTGCATAAAAGACGATATATATTGAGTAAATTCAAGTTTACAGTGTTGAAGAAAATCATCATATACGTAATTTAGGATTGAACTGAACACATTTGGTTTCATAAGTACAGTTTAACAGTTCCCGTACACGAATCGTGTGTTCTGCCAAAAGGTTATCTTGACCCAAACGAAGTCAGGAGAGCATGACATAGTGAAGAGACCAGATGTGCTTTGTTTGCGGTTTAACCGACTGGTTTGATTGGTGGAAAGTGACTTAAGGGGGGTGAATTTTGACTATAAAAGTAATCTGTGAAAAGTAATACTTTGGATTTGTTGAACTTGTTATGTTATGTTTATTTTATGGATGGAAAGCTGGATTCTCTGGCTTTATAGTGTTATCCCAACTTATTACATTAAAGACATGGAAAGTACTGAGTGTTTGGTGTGTACATTAACAATAACAATGGTAAAATGTAATTACAGATAGCACTAAGAATTAAGAATATGCAGCAAGGTGTGCCCCAGTAGACCACCTGTGGGAGGGTTCCCTATGAGCCAAGGCTGAGTCCTTACCACAGCAACCCGGGTACGAATCCAACCCCAACCGCTTTGCAGCATGTGGTCCCTTCTCTCCCCCTTTCTTGCCTTATCCTATCCAATAAAGGCCAAAAGATAATGTTGAAAAATTGAGCCAATGAAAACCCAATACAAGGAGGATATTGTCTCTGGGTCAAATTCTTGATACAGGTCGAAACCAAAGACAGACCAGGGGACCAGCCAGCGGAGAACAAGGGAGTGCATCACACTCATATGAAAGCACATCCGGATACAGTTTGCTACAGTAGGTGTGACACTCCACCAGATGGCAGTGTTGTTTCATCCTAAGAAAGACGTCAGCACAGTTTGTAATATGGGTAATTGGACTAATTGAAGGCAGAACAATTAGCTGTGTGTTTGCCAGCAAGAGGACAAAAGAAGTAACGGATGCTTTTAAACATCTCTGTATTTATAGTCTGTTACATTATTCACAAAAATGAAAAGGACATGAAATCTTAATGAAATTGGATTCTTTGTATGCTTGAAAATAAATATCTCTCGAAATGGTCACAGTGCTGAAACGCATGTCTGGCTGAAGTTTATTTTGAGCAGAACTTTCTCTCTACAGGAGTTGTTTTCAGCAGAACTACTGAGCATTTTTTAGTTCAGCCTGTACTGTTAGAAAGGGTTTACGATCTTTTCACCAACTGAAGACCCTTTTATTCTTTAGTTGAAGTAAAAACCAGAAGATCCACAGAAGTGGATTTGAGAGATTTTCACTTCACAATGTGCAACAAAGCACGCAGCGGTTTCTGAGGCCCTGAAACGCCTCCTGTTAGCAGAACATGATCCAGATTCACTTCTGATATCAGTCAGGAGCCCAGGAACAGATTACGGCCTCGCTCGTCCTTTTTTCCCTTTGCCTTAAGTAGAGCAATGGCTTGAACAAATCTAAATTCCAACATGTCTTTAAAATCATTATTCAAAGTAAAACAAATAGTGAGTAATACTCAGTAATGTAAGTTCAGTGTAAACCTCCTGCATATCTCCTCCTAAAAATTAGACGCTGTACTTTAACAAACTCCTCCTTCGGAACTTATCAGATAAACTTCAAATGTTGGCAGTACAAGGTAAAGACCTTAGTTTATCAAAACTTAATTAAAATTAAAAGCTTGATGTGTCATGGAACGGCGTGGACGTGGTGTTGGCGGCCATTTTACATGGTTCGCCATCATACATCAAGCTGTTGTAACTTTGTCAAAACTCTCCCAAACTTGACATGCTTGAAGAGAGTCATGGCTTGAAGACTTCTGCATGTCAATATTAACTCATAGTCACAGCGCTACCTACTGGCAACCATGGCCGTAATTGGATAACATTAGTTTTCAAATCGAGCTTGTACGTGGAGTTTTCATAAAGTGAATTGGTTTTGTTTGTTTTGGAGCCAGGCCGTGATGTAGCGTAATTTAAAGCAACGTGACCTTTGTTAAATAAAATCATACTGAACCCAGTCTAATTCATAGATTATACTACATGGGCTCACCTTATGGCTTAAACTTATTTCTCTAGAAAACAATGTTTTTTTTCCCCAAATGGAACTATACATTCTGACTACTATGATGTTTTAATTTCTCTCTAGGGATAAATAAAGTCATCTATCTATCTATCTACTATTGCATTTTCGCAATAACAATGTGAGAAAGTGACCCTATGTTGTCTTGCATTTTGTCATGTTTTAGCTACCATATAGCATCCAAGACGGCACTTGAGAAGCCTTTTTTCAAACATGGGGGCACCAGGGGAGGGAGGTCTACTTGTTTGATTAAATCTTCCCAAATAATATACATTTACTCACTTTACCTTCAAATCCTGCCCCTTTCCACTGTGGTTGGATTACTGGTTGGATTACTACACAAGTTACGTGTTCTTTACGTGTTCTCAAATCAGCCTCTATCACTCAGACAAAAGATTGAGGAGCAGAACATGAACAACAAAACAATAAAAAATGACGAAAATGGTCACGTTTTTTTTTCCTTTTCTCCAAATCAGATTAAGATCAATTTGTCAGTCATTTAATTAAATAAGCATGTCAAAGTAATAACTCCCTCAAATTAATTTTATTTATATGAATCATATGATCAAATATGTTTGGATATTTCCATTTTCAAATAAATATGCCAAGTGAGGGACTGAGAAGTCTTAAATTAGAGGATTTCCTCATAGATATGGCCACAAGAACGTTTCACTGCCGACGGGGTCATCATTTGCCTTGCTTTGCACTGTGAGCCATTGTGCTGGCAGCCATTCAGAGTCTGTGTGTGTGTGTCGAGGCTGGTTAGAATGACCTTGCTAATCCCTCATCTGAAGGGGAGGAGCAGGGTGAAAACAAGACTTTGCCCCTGACTCATGCCTTCTGTGCCAGCATAATGCTTACCATCCAAGTGTGTTTGTCTTTGTGTCTCCATGTGTGCATATGCTATATCTTCATGTTTTATCATTAATGTCAAGTACTAAAATGGACCAAATATCAATACTAAATAACTTATCCGTAGTCCTAAATAGAATATATATATATATATATATATATATATATATATATATATATATAGATATATATTGTATTTATTAACCGGCCGCTGCAGTAGTGTTTTATGTTTTATGACCAGCAGCAGTTGATGTAGTTTCCTGTGAGCTCCAGCAGGGCATATAGAGCCCTTACTTTCCCCAGTCATTACAAACAAGGGGGGGCTCTAATACTGGCTCTCGCTCTCATATTAGCTGCAGAACTATATCATGACAGAAATACACAAACAACTGTAATGAAATCAGATGCTAAACCAAAGTGCTCCATGATTTAAATGGTAGGCTGTCAGGAAAGTCACATATTTGATGACGTTACATGATATGACGATACATTCCATTATAGGTGATATTACACTATCACACAACAGAGAATTTTCTCCCAGACACCGACTTGCACAATGACCCTGAGGCACGTGATAGTTTTTTCATGACAAAATACTTAATGGCATTCATACTTCATTAATACTGTGACCCAGTGGTGGGCCGTCAGGGCCAGCTAAGCCTTCTCTGCTGGCCTAAACAGAATCACAAAGTTATAGCTATTTTATAATTTAACAATTTTTCACAAATACGCTACATGTATTTTAATTTTCCCATTCGATTTTTTTCTCATTGCACAACTCCTGTCTTCCTCTGTTGCTCTGTTTCCAGCCTGCAGCTTGTTTCAAGGAGAGCTTTTATCCAATCAGATTCAGATTCAGCCCCTATTTCTCTATGTAATGCTGTGTTCACACCAAACGTCGCGTCATTCGCACCACCATAGCTGTTCAACTGTAGTAGGACAGCACAGAAGGCCCAGGTATAAAATGCACGGCACGCCACTGCTGTGACTATTATAGTCACTTGCTTAGGTATAACGTTGACTATAGTTAAGATGAGGAGAAAACATATTGAGGGATTATCACGGACTTCTTTCCGTACAGCCAGGATAGCGTTTGCCAAAACTCTTCTGGTGAATTGACTGTTGGGATTTTATTCAGGAAAAGCAGGAATGAAACAATTTATTGATGAATGAGCATTTATTTGAAAAAGAAAGATACAACCTGAAACAGAGTCTGGATTATAGATGAGGTGATGGTGCTCCACCCACTTCTCCATATGGCAGCAAGTTTATCGCTTTGATAAACGGACAGGATTGAGATGGGGTCGAATTCAATGAGACATCACGATGAGCCAGGAGAGGAATGGGCTCTTTGAGAATTGTTAATTGTTTAAATCTATTAAGCAATACTAAGAGAAATGGAGGTGGCCCGGGGAATGGTTGCCCTATCCCGCCGACGCTCTCTCCTTCTCGCCTCAGCTTTTCCTCTGAGGGCATTGAAACGCCCAACACAGCCAAGTTGTTTGCAGCTACAGCTAACTGTGCTCCCACTTGTGATATTCAGAAAATAAACATGGCAAAATTAGCTCACCAAGGTGGGGGGGGGGGGGGGGTAGCAATAGCCCATTACGCTGCAGTGGTCATTACTGGCAGGAAGTCCCAGCGAAGAGATTACAGCAGTGGACTCACCACATTTACAAATTACATAGTTTCCCTTTAATATCATTGAAATGCTTTCACCTATCTGGGCGTGTTCGAGGTGACCCAGTCAAGTAACACTGCTGATACATTTTTATTCAACAATGG